GTGCCATCTGGTCTGCACTCCTGCTCCCTCCCAAGGTTGGGGCAAGGCCAGACCCCTGCCGGGAGTCTCTGCGGGTGCACATGGGCACAGACTGGAGGGCAGAGTCCAGGCCCTGACTCTGCTGGGGCTCGGGACTCCGGCCGCAGTCACGTGCCGCCTCCTTCTATCTCTGGGAGGGGAAGAAGGCACTCTCGATTGAGGTTGTAAGCCAAGGATTTGGGGGATCCTGGGCTCTTCGCACCCACCTGGTCAACAGGTCCCCAGTGAGGCTCTCTCCTGGCCAGGCCTTGTGGTAGCCCTGGGACACAGGGATGGCTCTGCCACCGCCCCTTCCGTCCTGGAACTTGGAGTCAGGGACAGGGTGGGGACAGGGGTCAGCAGTTCCAAGTCCCAGGGCCGGAGGAAGCTCTGCCAGGGAAGAGTGCTCGCACAGGGGAGCCCCGAACCTGCAGACAGAGCAGGAGATGGAGAGGGGCTGGGGGAGGGAGGGGCAGACAGGGACGGAGAGAGGGCTGGGGGTCAGAGACGGGGAAGGGCAGACTGGGCAGCTGAGACCCACAGCTCCAGGAAACATGGCGGCGGGCAGCCATGCGCTCCCCCAAGCGGGGCGGATGGGAGGAAGAACCCTGCCCTTTTCCTTTCCACACGTCCAGCCGCCAGCACTTGAGCACGCTGGGCCCACTGGATGGCCACTGTCCAGGTACTCGCTGGGCCAGGCCCCCAGGTGCGGGCTCTGTCCACTCACCTGTGCCGTACGCCACACGTCAGGGCTCCAGAGCGTCCCCGAGGACCACAGCGGCTGGCCTGCACCTGCACCACGCCGCACCCCAACCTCAGGTTTGGCCCCACCCAGCTCCTGAGGTGGGTATTACTCGTACCCCCTTTTCACATGTGGGGAAACTGAGACTAGGTAGGTTGAGAGTCGGCCCAGATTTGGGGCTGCATAGGCTCACACCCTGGCACCCATCCCCCTCTTTGAGCTCCTGACCGCATGCCCTGTGCCTTTCTGCCTGCCAGGCTGTCCAGTGACACGTGAACGGAGGGACAGGACATCCGCTGAAACAGCTGTGAGGCCCGCGGGCTGGTGGGAGAGGCTGGCACCCCAGGCCAGAGGAGCCTCGTCAGGGAAGTGGAGAACCATGGGTCACCCCGAGTACTCATTCCGAGTGCTCACCCCGCTCCTCCTGGCCAAGGGTCTACCTGCCTCCTCCTGGTAGGACAGGGCAGCAGGCCCAGAGCTCCCGGCTCACCCAAGGCCGTGGAGCCGCCTGCCTTCCTGGCCGGAGCGCGGCCCCCAGCAGAGGGACAGCACAGTGGGGCAGGCTCAGGTGCTTCCTGCCTGGGGATTGCCCAGGGCCAGGGCTTCATTCCTTCCGGGAAGACATTTGCATGGCTGGCCCTGGGCCAGCCCCATACCCTCGGTGCTGCTCCTGGCCCCCCAGCACCTTCCAGGAAGCTGCTCCAGGGCCTGGCCCTTGGTGCATGGCCATCTCGGTGGGCATGGCGATGAGGTGCTCACGGAGCTCAGGTTTCTGCCAGGGACGAGGGGCACCACCCTAGCCACCACTGAAATCTCAGAGCTAGGGAGCCATCTAGAAACCTGGAGCGGCAGACCCTGGGAGACTGCTCAGTGGGTTGTGGCACAGCAGTGCAAGGAGGGCTGGTTCCTGTGAGGGGCGCCCAGAGGGACAGAGGGCCTTGTTCAGAGGCAGGTGGGCGAGGAGGTGGAGGAGGAAGAGCCTGGCCGGGGGGGACAGAAGCGCTTTGTCTCCGTGGGCCCTCGGGGTTGGGCAACCTTTGGCAACAGTGCACATTAGCTAATGAAGCTGTGGTTTCCTTCCCACTGCCCTCGGCTGAGCCTCCCTCCTGAAGCAGCCCCTCCCCACTGTGGAAACACCCCCAGGGCCACGGTGCCACAGGTTAAGGCCTGTCTGTGGAAACCATTGTCTCTGCAGTGTGGTCTTGGAAGCCTCGAGCTGGTGGAGGACTGGGGGTCTCTTGCTCCTCTGCCCGCCTCCTTGGGGCGGCAGAGGAAGGTTCCATAGCAACCACCAGGCCCTGAGGGACCTGGGTGGGACTCAGGTCAGCAGAGGATCTTGAGATCAGCCCTTCAGCAGCTGGGCCACCAGGATGAGCCACATTGCCTGGGCCTCACCTGGGAGGCGGGTCTCCTGGGCCTCCCCACAGAGCTCCCGTGAGGGTCCCAGCCATGGCCAGTACAGATGGGGTATACAGATGGGGTATGCAGATGGGGTATGCAGATGACAGGGTGTGCAGATGAGGCCACGCGGTGGCTGGTCCTCAGAAAGTGGTCAGTCCTTGCCTGGCTTCCTTCCCACAGAGACTCACGAGGGCGGTGGGGAGCCCCGGGCCCCAGCCTCTGCAGCCTGAGCACTCCGAGAGTTCCTGGGCCTCCTGGAAGAGAAAGCCACTGGCTTTGGGCCCACGGGAGACCCGGAGCTAGCAGTGCTGCCTCTGGGTCTCACTCCGCATGACTGCAGGCAGCCCCCAGTTTACCTGTCCTGAAAACGGGAAGAGTGGCTGTCCACTCACAGCGTGAGAGCCACATGAGGCCACGTCACCGACGGCTCTGTCTGCAGTCGATGGCGCCATCCCCACCCCGCTGTCTTCTGGGGATGGCGCAGCCGTGCACACGCGCCCCCACGCTGTCTTCTAGGGATGGCGCAGCCGTGCACACGCGCCCCCACGCTGTCTTCTAGGGATGGCGCAGCCGTGCACACGCGCCCCCATGCTGTCTTCTAGGGATGGCGCAACCGTGCACACGCGGCACCGAGTGGTAGCGGGCAAGGAGGTGGCACGCCGCTGAGCTGGCTCTCCAGGGAGGCGAGCCCTGGTGGGTAACATTTGCTGATTTCCACGTGAACACGCCACCAACCTGATTCTAAGCTCATCTTGGTTAATCACCACAAAATGCCTCATTTTTAAAAAAGCTTATTTCTTTCTTTCTTCCATGAACAACAAGGAGAAGGAACAGAGAAGACCGAGTGACCGAGCTGAGCCCCTGGACGTCTCGATGCTACACCACCCGGCCTCAGCCAGCCTGGACCACAGCCACTGCGCCGGTGTGCTCAGGGAGGTCCCCAGACACGAACCTGGGACCTCCCCACGTGGGCCAGCCTCGCAGTGTCACGTCTTGCTACTGTGTCCCCAAGTCCCTCAATATGTAATGGGCGGCTCTTTTTCAAACCAGCAGCCTCACCACTGGCAGAGACAAGACATGAGGCCTGGGGTCTCCTGCCGGCCCGGCTAGGGTCGAACGTGAGTGGGGACCTTGGGCGCCTGGTATCCCTGACCCCATCCTGAGCCCGTTCTGTCCGGGCTCCGCTCTT